TCTACCACAGGGTTGATGCCCAGGTCACATGACGTTCTACTACATGGTAGATGCCCAGGTCACATGACGTTCTACCACAGGGTTGATGCCCGGGTCACTTGAAGTTCTACTACATGGTAGATGCCCAGGTCACATGACGTTCTACTACATGGTAGATGCCCAGGTCACATGACGTTCTACCACAGGGTTGATGCCCGGGTCACATGAAGTTCTACTGCATGGTAGATGCCCAGGTCACATGACGTTCTACCACAGGGTTGATGCCCAGGTCACATGACGTTCTACCACAGGGTTGATGCCCGGGTCACATGAAGTTCTACTACATGGTAGATGCCCAGGTCACATGACGTTCTACCACAGGGTAGATGCTCAGGTCACATGAAGTTCTACTGCATGGTAGATGCCCAGGTCACATGACGTTCTACCGCAGGGTTGATGCCCGGGTCACATGAAGTTCTACTACATGGTAGATGCCCAGGTCACATGACGTTCTACCACAGGGTAGATGCCCAGGTCACATGACGTTCTACCACAGGGTTGATGCCCGGGTCACATGAAGTTCTACTACAAGGTAGATGCCCAGGTCACATGACGTTCTACCACAGGGTAGATGCCCAGGTCACATGACGTTCTACCACAGGGTTGATGCCCGGGTCACATGAAGTTCTACTACATGGTAGATGCCCAGGTCACATGACGTTCTACCACAGGGTAGATGCCCAGGTCACATGACGTTCTACCACAGGGTTGATGCCCGGGTCACATGAAGTTCTACTACATGGTAGATGCCCAGGTCACATGACGTTCTACCACAGGGTAGATATCCAGGTCACATGACGTTCTACCACAGGGTAGATATCCAGGTCACATGACGTTCTACCACAGGGTAGATATCCAGGTCACATGACGTTCTACCACAGGGTAGATACCCAGGTCACATGACGTTCTAGCACATGGTAGATGCCCAGGTCACATAACGTTCTACTGTAGAGTAGATGCCCAGGTCACATGACGTTCTACCACAGGGTTGATGCCCAGGTCACATGACCTTCTACTACATGATAGATGCCCAGGTCACATGACATTCTACCACAGGGTAGACGCCCAGGTCACATGACGTTCTACCACAGGGTTGATGCCCAGGTCACACCGGGTAATATTACCCCTCAGCCACGGGGTAAATACCCTGAGACAGTTCGGGTAACTGTCCTCTAAACAGGATCGCAGTAAAACTGGTTGATAATGTTTGTAAGGTGAATGTCTGAGACAAGTCTAGTTTCTTGGGGCTCAAATAAGAGCCGAGTTAAGCCGTATGACACTGTGTCTAGTTTCTCACTGATTATTATTATTATTATTATTATTATTATTATTATTATTATTATTTTATTATTATTATTATTATTATTATTATTATTATATTATTATTATTATTATTATTATATATTATTATTATTATTATTATTATTATTATTATTATTATTATTATATTATTATTATTATTATTATTATTATTATTATTATAATTGTATTATCATTATTACTATTTGTGATTATTCATTCATTGATATTATGTATTATTATAATGTGGTGATATGCCATTATTACACTGTATGGTGAATGCATCATTGCTGTATAGATGATTTCATTATAACTGTTGGTGATGTGATATTACCGTGGTGAGATATGTACGTTTGCATTTTGTGGTGATTTTCATCATTACACTGATGTTATGTGTCATCATCACATTGTGTGGTGTTATTTTAATATCATGAGAGTTTAAATGATCATGTTACAGCAAGACACCTTAAAATCAGGAGAGAAATTGGTTATCTAGAGAGGAGAGAGAGAGGAGAGAGAGAGAGAGAGAGAGAGAGAGAGAGAGAGAGAGAGAGAGAGAGGAGAGAGAGAGAGAGAGAGAGAGAGAGAGAGAGAGAGAGAGAGAGGAGAGAGAGAGAGAGAGAGAGAGAGAGAGAGAGAGAGAGAGAGAGAGAGAGAGAGAGAGAGAGAGAGAGAGAGAGCGAGATTCCTACAAGTCACCTACGAGATGCTGTACCTGCTTGCTTAGCAGTAAGCACGTATCTAGTAGCAGTTAGACAGGTGTTGTGGGTTGCATCCTGTGGGAGAGGACCTACTGACCACAACAACAGTCGTCTACACAGCTGGGATTTCTTAGATAATCCTGGGTAATAAATAAGAGGCATTTCCTCACCTTATTTCTGTCAGGAGGAAGAAGAAGATCGACGTGTATACCCCACCACGACTCCCGAGATACTGAGAAGTGACTACTCACATCTTCTCATATATTTGTTCAGGTAGATAGGTTGCCGTATTAGGTTTGAAGCCTGCCGGCTACACGATTGCCAGTAAGGTTATCACGGTGTATACTAAGAAATACTCATCTGCCTGTGTAAGTACGTGCACGCACACGTACACATACATTCACACACAGTCGTTCAGGGCTCTGTACACCGTGTACGTCAGGCCCATATTGGAGTACGCAGCATCAGTTTGGAACCCACACCTAGTCAAGCACTTCAGGAAATTAGAGAAAGTGCAAAGGTTTGCAAAGAGACTAATCCCAGAGTTAATGGGTATGTCCAACGAGGAGAGGTTAAGGGAAATCGACCTGACGACACTGGAGGACAGGAGAGATATGATAACGACATATAAAACAATGAGAGGAAACGACAAGGTGGACAGAGACAGGATGTTCCAGAGATTGGACACAGCAACAAGGGGTCACAGTTGGAGGTTGAAGACTCAGATGAGTCACAGTGATGTTAGGAAGTATTTCTTTAGTCACAGAGTTGTCAGGAAGTGGAATAGTCTGGGAAGTGATGCAGTGGAGGCAGGATACATACATAGCTTTAAGAAGAGGTATGATAAAGCTCATGGATCAGGAAGAATGAACAAGTAGGGACCAGTGAAGAAGCGGGGCCAGGAGCTATGAATCGACCCTTACAACTTCAGCTAGATGAGTACACACACACAACAATTACCAGCGTAAGACATCCGCTTCGTTATTACAAACACTGCATAAGACAAAGTTTTGCTGGATCAGAATGTTACACTTCCTGACACAATGTTTCCAAACATTTCTTCAACATTTAACATAAACACTTTATATAACACTACGATAACTGATGACCTTTACCTCACTCTTCTCCCAGTTATTATTATTATTTTTATTATTTTTATTATTATTATTATTATTATTATTATTATTATTATTATTATTAGTAGTAGTAGTAGTAGTAGTAGTAGTAGTAGTAGTAGTAGTAGTAGTAGTATTTTGCTATTATTGTCATCGTATTTTTTATTATTGTTATTATAAGTTGTATGCATGTTGCACGGAGAAAAGTTCAACGTGCCACCTGCGTCACAAGGTTAGGTACCTCGCTAAGTTGTCGGCAGGATTATATATATATATATATTATTATATATATATATATATATATATATATATATATATATATATATATTATATATATATTTATATATATATATATATATATATATATATAATATACCGAGAGGTATATATATGAGTGTAAATACACAGAGAGGTGTATATTTCTCACTGTATATACACCGAGAAGTGTATATCTCTCATTATACATAGTTCGAGAGGTCTGCATCTCTCGTAGTGTATACATCAAGAGTGTATATACAGTATATATACACTGAGAGTTTAATCTCTGTTTTATGTATTTTAAGTATTTTTGACTGGTGGCGAACAGGTTATATACACGACCCTCATGTAGTAGATAGGTTTTAAACCCTCATTAGACAACCTACTACTAACCATGTCTGTACATTAGGTCTAAAAGTAGCAGCGACCTTATAGTATAGGCAAACTAGGTCCGTCGTCTAGGGCGTTAGGTTAATTAGAGCGTCAAAATCGAGGAAAATAATCCCCTTTTGAATCTATTCTGCTTTTACTAGTGGGCCCCGTCCACATATGACGATATCTTCAACTGCTGCACATTCCCATTTTTTTCAACTGCCATACCAAAGTCTCCGTCCTCAAGCCTTTGTAATAGATCGACAAAGCCTGCTACGAGGGCGAAACGTTTCTCAGTTAAAATACTTAGGTGTTATACATATGTGGCTCATTCATCAAGTTGCCACAAACGCATGGGGAATGGGAGGTAATGAGGCTTGATCCGAGGAAGGAGAAGGGGATGGATAGCTCATTATTACATTGTTACATTGTATTATTACATTGTATTGTAGATTATTGTACTGTATTATAGATTATTGTATTGTAGATTAATGTGTTGTATTGTAAATTATTGTATAGTAGATTATTGTACTGTATTATAGATTATTACATTGTATTATAGATTATTGCATTGTATTGTAGATTATTGTATTGTATTGTAGATTATTGTATTGTATTGTAGATTATTGTAATGTATTGTAGATTATTGTAATGTATTGTAGATTATTGTATTATTGTAGATTAGAGGTAGTAGACTACGGGGGGCACTGCCCCCCGGGTCGCAAACCAGGCTGACTAAAATAGATTTCAGATCGTCAGGTAAAGAAATAAAACATGTGAGGAACACTGGTATCTTTTTGAAGATAATAAGATAATAAGATAATAAGATAATAAGATAATAAGATAATAAGATAATAAGATAATAAGATAATAAGACAATAAGATAATAAGATAATAAGATAATAAGATAATAAGATAATAAGATAATAAGATAATAAGATAATAAGATAATAAAATAATAAGATAATAAGATAATAAGATAATAAGATAATAAGATAATAAGATAATAAAAAATAAGATAATAAGATAATAGATAATAAGATAATAAGATAATAAGAAATAAGATAATAAGATAATAAGATAATAAGATAATAAGAAATAAGATAATAGATAATAAGATAATAAGATAATAAGATAATAAGATAATAAGAAATAAGATAATAAGATAATAAGAAATAAGATAATAGATAATAAGATAATAAGATCAATATGGATATCTGTTATATTTGCGTTTTATTGAGAACAAAATTACTTAGATGATAATATGTAATTTCTAAGGATACAAGAGTTAAGTGGCGCTGGGCAGGTGGTGGAGATTTTGGCGTACAGGTGGCTAGTGAATGTAAACGATTTGCAAATAACCCACACATGGGAGAGAGAGGAGCTCTGACAGCGCTTCGGTCCATTTACAAGTCAGAGTGAAACGTCGCACGTTCAGCACCACGGTAAGTCTCACCCAGCATCGTGGAGAGTTCTACCAGCATCTTGGACATCTCTCTCAGCCTCAGCATCTTAGACAACATTCAGTCCTCTCCCAGAAGCACCCCAGCACTCGGCCATGTAAGCATCAAGGTTACGGTTACGGCACCTGTTTTTGTAGGCCACCCTGTACACAAGGAAAGATATATTTTTTTATTATTTTTTTATTATCACACTGGCCGATTCCCACCAAGGCAGGGTGGCCCGAAAAAGAAAAACTTTCACCATCGTTCACTCCATCACTGTCTTGCCAGAAGGGTGCTTTACACTACAGTGCAGGCACTGTACTTCCCATCTCCAGGACTCAAGTCCGGCCTGCCGGTTTCCCTGAACCCCTTCATAAATGTTACTTTGCTCACACTCCAACAGCACGTCAAGTATTAAAAACCACTTGTCTCCATTCACTCCTATCAAACACGCTCACGCACGCCTGCTGGAAGTCCAAGCCCCTTGCACACAAAACCTCCTTTACCCCCTCCCTCCAACCTTTCCTAGGCCTACCCCTACCCCGCCTTCCTTCCACTACAGACTGATACACTCTTGAAGTCATTCTGTTTCGCTCCATTCTCTCTACATGTCCGAACCTCCTCAACAACCCTTCCTCAGCCCTCTGGACAACAGTTTTGGTAATCCCGCACCTCCTCCTAACTTCCAAACTACGAATTCTCTGCATTATATTCACACCACACATTGCCCTCAGACATGACATCTCCACTGTCTCCAGCCTTCTCCTCGCTGTAACATTCATCACCCATGCTTCACACCCATATAAGAGCGTTCGTAAAACTATACTCTCATACATTCCCCTCTTTGCCTCCAAGGACAAAGTTCTTTGTCTCCACAGACTCCTAAGTGCACCACTCACCCTTTTCCCCTCATCAATTCTATGATTCACCTCATCATTCATAGACCCATCCGCTGACACGTCCACTCCCAAATATCTGAATACATTCACCTCCTCCATACTCTCTCCCTCCAATCTGATATCCAATCTTTCATCACCTAATATTTTTGTTATCCTCATAACCTTACTCTTTCCTGTATTCACTTTTAATTTTCTTCTCTTGCACACCCTACCAAATTCATCCACCAATCTCTGCAACTTCTCTTCAGAATCTCCCAAGAGCACAGTGTCATCAGCAAAGAGCAAATGTGACAACTCCCACTTTATGTGTGATTCTTTATCTTTTAACTCAACGCCTCTTGTCAAGACCCTCGCATTTACTTCTCTTACAACCCCATCTATAAATATATTAAACAACCACGGTGACATCACACATCCTTGTCTAAGGCCTACTTTTACTGGGAAATAATTTCCCTCTTTCCTATGTACTCTAACTTGAGCCTCACTATCCTCGTAAAAACTCTTCACTGCTTTCAGTAACCTACCTCCTACACCATACACTTGCAACATCTGCCACATTGCCCCCCTATCCACCCTGTCATACGCCTTTTCCAAATCCATAAATGCCACAAAGACCTCTTTAGCCTTATCTAAATACTATTCACTTATATGTTTCACTGTAAACACCTGGTCCACACACCCCCTACCTTTCCTAAAGCCTCCTTGTTCATCTGCTATCCTAATCTCCGTCTTACTTTTAATTCTTTCAATAATAACTCTACCATACACTTTACCAGGTATACTCAACAGACTTATCCCCCTATAATTTTTGCACTCTCTTTTGTCCCCTTTGCCTTTATACAAAGGAACTATGCATGCTCTCTGCCAATCCCTAGGTACCTTACCCTCTTCCATACATTTATTAAATAATTGCACCAACCACTCCAAAACTATATCCCCACCTGCTTTTAACATTTCTATCTTTATCCCATCAATCCCGGCTGCCTTACCCCCTTTCATTTTACCTACTGCCTCACGAACTTCCCCCACACTCACAACTGGCTCTTCCTCACTCCTACAAGATGTTATTCCTCCTTGCCCTATACACGAAATCACAGCTTCCCTATCTTCATCAACATTTAACAATTCCTCAAAATATTCCCTCCATCTTCCCAATACCTCTAACTCTCCATTTAATAACTCTCCTCTCCTATTTTAACTGACAAATCCATTTGTTCTCTAGGCTTCCTTAACTTGTTAATCTCACTCCAAAACTTTTTCTTATTTTCAACAAAATTTGTTGATAACATCTCACCCACTCTTCATTTGCTCTCTTTTTACATTGCTTCACCACTCTCTTAACCTCTCTCTTTTTCTCCATATACTCTTCCCTCCTTGCATCACTTCTACTTTGTAAAAACTTCTCATATGCTAACTTTTTCTCCCTTACTACTTTCTTTACATCATCATTCCACCAATCGCTCCTCTTCCCTCCCGCACCCACTTTCCTGTAGCCACAAACTTCTGCTGAACACTCTAACACTACATTTTTAAACCTACCCCATACCTCTTTGACCCCATTGCCTATGCTCTCATTAGCCCATCTATCCTCCAATAGCTGTTTATATCTTTCCTTAACTGCCTCCTCTTTTAGTTTATGAACCTTCACCTCTCTCTTCACTGATGCTTCTTTTCTCCTTGTATCCCATCTACCTTTTACTCTCAGTGTAGCTACAACTAGACAGTGATCTGATATATCTGTGGCCCCTCTATAAACATGTACATCCTGAAGTCTACTCAACAGTCTTTTATCTACCAATACATAATCCAACAAACTACTGTCATTTCGCCCTACAACATATCTTGTATACTTATTTATCCTCTTTTTCTTAAAATATGTATTAGCTGTAACTAAACCCCTTTCTATACAAAGTTCAATCAAAGGGCTCCCATTATCATTTACACCTGGCACCCCAAACTTACCTACCACACCCTCACTAAAAGTTTCTCCTACTTTAGCATTCAGGTCCCCTTCCACAATTACTCTCTCACTTGGTTCAAAGGCTCCTATACATTCACTTAACATCTCTCTCTCTCCTCTGCATTTCTCTCTTCTCCAGGTGCATACACGCTTGTTATGACCCACTTCTCGCATCCAACCTTTACTATAATCCACATAATTCTTGCATTTACACATTCATATTCTCTTTTCTCTTCCATAACTGATCATTCAACATTACTGCTACCCTTCCTTTGTTCTAACTCTCTCAGATACTCCGGATTTAATCCCATTTATTTCCCCCCATATATATATATATATTATATATATATATATATATATATATATATATATATATATATATATATATATATATATATATATATATATATATATATATATATATATAATATATATATATATATATATTATATATATATATATATATATATAGGATGGGGTCCACCTCTGGTGTAAATTGTGGGACCCATTGCCTCGGAGAAGTGCATAAAAAGACTTCAAGGAAGAATATTTGGATTTCTTCTGAAGCCGTTTGAATATTCCACTTCCCCTACCACCCCATCTTTTAGTATATTTTTTTTTACCAATAGGAATATTTTATTACATAATATGGTACAGATATATATATATATATATATTATATATATATATATATATATTTATATATTATATATATATATATATATATATATATATATATATATATATATATTATATATATATATATTATATATATATATATATATTATATATATATATATATATATATATATATATATATATATATATATATATATATTATATATATATATATATATATATATATATATATATATATATATATATATATATATATATATATTATATATATATTTTATATATATATATATATATATATAATATATATATATATACTTACCAAGCGGAATATCCTTGGGATCTCAAGATCTTCCGGGCACAAGTGACGGCAGTACTCAGATTATCGCTCAAGAGATCTGTAAAAGGAACACCAGGTCACCCACCAGGTCACGTACTAGGTCACGTACATGTCCTTGCACGTACATTCCAGAAAACACATGTCATGCACACCATTTAAATCTACAATATCAATAATGAAAATATATGTCAGAGAATCTCTGGGACAGTATATAGGTAATAATGAACACTAATTACATAATAATGAACAAATAGAGAGTAATTCTAGACTTAATCATTATATACCTGAGTGGTAATGAACCACATCTGGCTGTAGCAGATTTTGGTGATTCTCCGGAGGTCTGGAAGAGCTACAGGTGTGTAAATTGTTGTATCTCAGGTGTGTACATGGTTGAATCTCAGGTGTGTACATGGTTGAGTCTCAGGTGTGTACATGGCTATATCTCAGGTGTGTACATGGTTATATCTAAGGTATGTACATGGTTATATCTAAGGTGTGTACAGGGTTGAATCTCAGGTGTGTACATGGTTGAATCTCAGGTGTGTACATGGTTTTATCTCAGGTGTGTTAGATTAACCCAGGCGTTGCACATTTGTCTTATTAACCAAGTTATCAGTATTTTACACCAGCCATATTTATGTAATTTCTCTTGCGCAATACCAATAATTTGGGGAATGAGACTAATTATTATTTTGACGTAATAATTTCCCAATTTGTTGTGATTTGACGCCAACAATTTGGTCAGTAGCTCATCAATTTGATGAGTATAGCATTCATTGGTATTTTATCATTTATCTAGTTTTGATTCCTCTATTGCTTGCTTGAAGGCTCTCTCACTCTCTCTCTCTCTCTCTCTCTCTCTCTCTCTCTCTCTCTCTCTCTCTCTCTCTCTCTCTCTCTCTCTCTCTCTCTCTCTCTCTCTCTCTCTCTCTCTCT